AAGAAGAGATATCGTAGTTTTAAAATGTGTAAAAAAGTTTAAGGAAAATGCTTTTAATCCGAGTGTTTCTTTTAAAAAATGACTCTCATATTAAGCGACCTTACTCTATATTCTTTGTACTTTATAACGACACAGTTGTATGAAGAGCTTTGAGCAAATATCCGGTTTCTTTATGCTTTAATTAATTTATATTTAGTTATTTTATTTTATTTATTTATTAATACTAGAAATAACAAAATTTGTTCATTTCGTATGCTAATGAAAAATATTAATACAGGAGTTGTACTCAGGAAATAGTATAAATGTTACATTTAGAAAAATTGTTTCTGTCACTTAAGATTAAATTGAACCTTCTAGATTTTAGAACCCGGAATCTTTATTTTCCATACAATATATCATTTTTGTTCGCAAAAATTACACATATTTTTGTACACTTTTAGAAACATTCGTGTTTTTCAAAAATTGAAGATAATAGAGCAAACCTGTTGCTGGATTAGTATTTTACCTCAGAGCATCAAAAAAGAATCCTCTATTAGGATAAAGTACACCGAAAGTTATAAAATATGTCATGAGTAAAAACGTAACACATGCAAGTATTTTATATTCACTACGAATGAAGTACATTAAAAGGGCCAAAAAACATAGTATTATAAACCCATAGATTTTTGTCCACATGGTGTAAATTGTTTGAAAGAAAACAATTTTACATAAAAGAATAATTCGAAAAGAAAAAATAAGCTTTTTTGATTAATTTCCGACTAGATATATAAAAATAATCGGCAGAAGATTATTTTATATATATAAATAAATGAAAGAATGTACAGTAAAGTTTTTCCGTTTATAATTTTATTTTCAAGAAAAAAGGAGTTCCTAAGAATTGGCTTGGTACACGTACGTTATAAATATTAAAGGTTGAATTTTCTCAGAAGTGAAATACCTTATTATATGCACATAAATCTATATATTAAAGATTATTATTTTATATTTTTAACTTTCCATATTTTTACACATAGAATATCTTTGTGTCTGTTACTTTTCTCAAAATTTATTCTTTGAGTGTTTAAAATTACAAGAAGTTTAAAAGTCTAATATTGAATCAGAGATATATAAATAGTAAATTAAAAATGCACTTGTATTTATTCAATATATATATATATATGTACGTATTGTAATGTGTTATTTTCCGTGATTTTCAACTAATTAATTATTTTATTGCTAATTATAAAATTATGCGTACAATACTCCAGTACTGATGAAGTATTTATGCCTGATTTATGCCCTTCTGCGAAATTTAAATACAAAAAATAAGGAAAGCATCTAAGGTGGTACACTCGTCACAATTTCTCTTGAATGAAAAAAATCTCCAGTTAGATTTTATTTCTTCACTAGCGTTTGAAAAAATATAATAAATTCTAATGATAAACTTTCTATATAAAATAAAAATCTTTATAAAGGAAAATAAAATAATAATAAAGATCTTTCAAATTTTATCTTCTTACTCATGTGTCGATTTTAAAAAAAGATATGAGAAAATATTATTTTCTCTTTTCAAATTATTTTCTTCTTTTATGTTGGTTATGCTACAATTTCATTCTCTATAATTTCTTAATGATTTTTTAATATAAACAGATAAGATAACTTGTATTCTGTTTTTGTGATAACGTTATATTCACTGTTTCTTCAAATAAAAATTTGCACACTTATAAATACGACAACATCGCTTATAATATGTTTGGATAAAGATTAAAAAAAATATAATGAGAATTGTAACTTTTAAAAGGTACGAGCTGTAGATATAGAAAGAACTGACAGCGGGGTGGGATCAGAGAGCAGTCAAGCCAGCAGCACTCGAGGCGTGCCAAGACGTTGGAGAGCAGGAAATGTCTCTTCGGGACCAGGAAGTCTCCTCAGTGGAATCCCACAAGTGATTTCCGGTGATTCAAAGTATTGTGAGGACTGTGAACAACGTTTGGATCCTTTAATAACAGATAGGTAAACGATAATATTATAATAATATTAGTCATAATAATATTAGTTAATATGCAACAAGAAACGTATCTGATAGTATATGTATTCCAGATGACAGATATTGTTGAACATGAAATTAAAATTGGTCTTCACTTTAAAATACTGTTTCATAAATAATCCTATTATTTTCTAATAAGAGAATATAAACATCAAAGTATAGAAATTAATGATAAATTATTAATCAAGAGAAACACTTATTATATTTTCACGACATCATTAGACTGTCTATGAAGTTAAATTATTATAGTCGTATTTACTACATATATATTTTATTATTTATTATTATAATACTGTCAGATGGTGTCCTATGTAACATCTTATAAATCAAATATTTAAAAATTTTTAGATATGAACTTCAAAAAATACTCTCGAAAATCAAAAAATACTCTCACAAGGTGCAATTACAAATATTAGTTTACATCTCTCTTTTAAACAATTGTAATCAAGTTACAATGCATTATCGTAGGTGACTACATGTAAGAAATAAAATCGCAGTTTAATTTGATCATAATTTTATAATTAAAATAAAATATAGATACTTTCGAATGATGTAATAATACATATATACATTATTAATATGTATTGTGTGTAAACATATATTTTATGTTAGTATGTATGTATGTATGTATATATATATATATATATACTTATATATATTATATATGTATATGTATACATATAATTAACTCATCATAAGAATACATCAGTTTAGTGTAAAAATAAAATTTTACGTAATATTTTAATGCAAAAAAAATATAAATATTTCCAGACTGTTGTAATTTTGCAAAAATATGACATTTAGATATTTTATCAAATTATGTCGTTATATACGTTGTATCAACACATTTTACATTCTGATCTATACTGTAGAATTTTATTTCTTATTTATAACTTATTTTATATAATTTTCAAATTATTATTTGCATTTGTGATGTTATTAGTATCTAATTTAAATATGTAAATGTAATGAACTTGTAAATTACTTAAGTATAAAAAAAGTTTTTTTAGTATAAAAGATGAATTACAATACAAATGTTTAATTACCTGTAAAATCATTTTCTCTCAAAGGAATAATAGATCTGAATATCAGTACTTTAAATAGAATTGTACGGTTCTTTATACATTACGAATATTTTTAATAAATAACAAATGTTTAACTATTATTTAAAACTTTGAGTAGTTCCGTAACTGATTCTTAATCTATGCGTCTTGAATTTAATTTCAGTTAAATGTAATATTTTATTTTACTTAAGAACCTTAGAAGAAATTCATTCAAAGTCGATGTAGTAAATGATTATTCTCA